ATTTTCATTTAAAGCGGCCTCGAGCTCAATATAAATTGTTGAATATAAAAAAAAATAATAAATATTTTTTAAACAAAGAGAAGTAGCTAAAACTTGCTAAAAGGTATTTACCATATTTACATTATCGGCACTCTGCCTCTTTTTATTGCGTATGTAGAATGGAATTTGCCGCCCCTCTCTAAAGATAGTAAAAAAATAAAATTTTTTTGGCCCCATTTTTTTTTACAAAACACAAAAAACTTTTATAAACTTCAATTATTCTACTCCTATTTTTTTCAATAAACATATTTCTTACTAATTTTTTCAGCTGAACCCATAGAAAATGGTGCGCATTGAGGATAACGGTGAGCCAGGCTGCAAAACTTCGGCTGAAGTTAATCAACGATTTCGAAATTTCGAAGATCCGACCTCATATTGGCAATGCGGCTTGCAAGGAGAGCCAGCCAAAGCTGTGCGCTGCGAACCGAACAAACTTTACTCTGAGGAGGAACAGAAATGTATATTCTGGAAAAATTGGCATTGGATGGATCCAAAAGAACCACCCAGTCGACCTAGCAAAACCAAAACTAAATAATAGGTTTAAAGAAAACCAATTAATTTAAATTCGAGTAAACTATAATATGTAAACATAGAATTAAAGATTTATTCAATATTCGTGATATTTATAAATTTACATATATGTATGTATATCCAATAATTGCAAAACTAAACTAATATTATTGTTTTAAAAATTTGAAAAGTTAAGTTTGAAAAAATAAATACCCCTGCCTCACCTATCCTCGGCAGCCCATGGGAGTTTACTCGGCGTCTTACAACGTTTCCAAGGTGCGCAGAAACTGCTTGCGAATAAATCACTACTTGAGAATAAATCATATTTAAGATTTCAGAGTATTAAAACCCTATTCCCACACCAACGACAAAATTCATCTATTGACTATTGTCATATCTACTGCGCCTAAAACTAGGCTATAGAAACTTAACTTTACGCGCTCCATAGTTTTAGGCGAAGTAGTTGTCACCATTGGAACGCTTAAAATAAATTTGAGGCATAGTATTTGGCACTGTAGTAAAGACAATATTTAGCCGTTGAGTTCTATCATTGGCGTAGGAATAGGGCTGAATAGTGCTGAGCATTGTCATTGGCTTGGGAATACGGCTGTTAGTAGCAACAAAACATTTGGCGTGCAGTTAGACTACCTTTGTTTGGTTGGTATTACTCGCCTAAGATTTATAAAGAGGCGCTCGGTGCAGAATATTTTTTGAAGTGAAACTACTTCGGCGACGGTGGTGAATTGAATAAACAACATGGTGAATTTAGAAATTAAAGTGAAGACTTTAAGATCAGGGTAAAGATGAGGATAAGCAGTTTTTAAATCTAAAATCTAAAAAATTTTAAAAGCAAAAGTTATAAAAATTTTTGGCTTAATAGCTCCAACTAATCGTAAAAATACTGAAATTTTCAAGAAATGCATTTTGAATTTTGAAAAATTTTTACTTGAAAATCTAAATAAAGTTATGTTAAACAATTTTTATTTATGATTGATTTTGGAACGGATTTCCGTCATCCCTTGTTAGGTTTTGTTTGGAGACAATCCAAAAATAAATTTGCAAAATCCGGATTATGCAACGATTAGTAAATGGTTCAAAGGAATTTCACATCTGTAGTGGGGCATGGGCACACTCATTATTATTTTTTCTTTGTTGGGTGGTCCACGTAGTCAGTTGTGGGCAAAGAAAACTTGATTCCGATTCGGTTTCCATTAAAATTGCCGGCGGGGTATGTCCACTAGTTAGCAGTTTGTTGTGAATCTTTTTGTAGCGCCTGATTCAAAGTCAAAGTGAGAGTACTCATTGCCATACTTCTGTATGTATGTACGTACGTATGTATGCCGTTGCTCTCGGCGTTTGAGTAAAAAAAAATTGCCTACCGCCACAAACATTTCCAATACAATTGAAATTACTCCATTATACACACCCTCACACTCACACAGTTTGCATCCTATTTTGTGCTCTGCTACGAATTCCCTTTCAGTTTACTCGACATCTGACGCCGCAGAGGCTCAACTAGTTGTCATTGATGGTTTGCTTTTTGTGGTAATGTTGAACATAAATGCGCCTCGATGCACAAACAATGCCAACAATTGGCGGTGAGCGATGAGCTTTTCCTGCTGCCAGCATACGCCACGCAGCGTCACAACCGACCTTTTCTTGGGGACTATAGCTCGGCGCGATATGACCAGCATGCGATGGCTGACGAGAATCGCCAACAGCGCAACTACCAGTACCCTTTTTGAGTGGATATTTGGATTTACTCGATATTTAGTTGCAAAGTGGCTTAAGAGGCTCACTTGCTTTTGTAATGCAATTATTGCTTCGATGCCGCGGATGCTTTGCTGGCCAGTTGACATGTTTTTGCTGTCAGCTTTTGAAAACCACTCATGTTGTGTTTACCTTCAATGTTCCATGTCCTATTCAAGAGTCCTAAGAGCCGTTTGCCTTTGTGCAAATGTCAAGCAACTGAACACGCGCCCATTTAAGTACATCGACGGCACTTTCAGTTCTCCACTTTCGCATTATTCCTGCTTTGCATTTGAATATACGTCGCCGCTGTTGAAAGGGCTCTTGAATGGGCTCAGAAAGCTTTTCGCTTATGTAAGAGTGTCGTGGGGAAATTCTTATGTGAACAACTTTTCAATTTAGAACTGTGGTGGGCATAGAGAGCTTTTAAATTGTTCATGTCTATAAAAAATCTGTGGGAAACTTAAAAAACTCTGCTCGCGAGTGGGGCGATGCTCATCACCCATTTAGAATGATAAAAAAAGGAACAGTCCAGCGCCTTCGTCTTCGTCTGCAGGCTGTATCGGAGATACACCCGCTAAATTTAAACGTAGAATACGTGGTATGGTTAAGAGCATATCCAAGTCAAAAACGAAAGCACAAACTAAGAAAAAAATATCGATAACAAAAGCGATAATAAAATCGATAACAAAATCGATAAAAATATCGATAACAAAATCGTTAACTAAATCGATTACAAAATCGATAAAAAATCGATTACAAAATCTATCGAAAAATCGATTACAAAATCGATAACAAAATCGATTCCAAAGTCAATAACAAAATTGATAACAAAATCTATCAAAAAATCCATTACAAAATCGGTAATAAATTCGATAAAAAAATCGATAAAACTATCGATAACAAAAGCGATGGCAATATCGATAGCAAAATCGGTAAAAAA